AGTCGAAGTCTCTCTTCGGACGCGCGGTCCAGTTCGCAGTGCTGCTATCGCAGTGGCACCTTAAGGTGCAGCGCGTGAAAGAGAAGGATGTCGCCTTTGCGCAGCTACTGCAGTCAAGCATCACGAGCTTCGTTGACCTGGAAGACTCGCTCGCGCCGGTGGCGCCTCCAAACAAAGGTTCCCCGACTATTCGAATGGACCCCGCGTTGCTGTACGCCAGGCTTTTCCGTAATTACAGCGGATTCGTCATGTCTTTTGACGGATCAGCGAAGACAGAGAAGTACGGTGGCTACGGGAGTTGTTCATGGGTGCTGTGGAGCCTTCCTGAGTGGAAGGTAGTGATTGCTGCAAACGCTTACCTCTCGGCTACCACGGTGAATGAGGCAGAGTATAAAGGTATGATCAACGGTGTCAAGGCTGCTATTGCGCACGGTGCCGAGGATTTAGTCATCGTTGGTGACTCAAGGCTCGCGATTCAACAATCACTAGGGGTGATCGCATGCAGGAAGGAAACTTTGCTAGCGCTGCTGAATACTCACAAGGAACTCACGGCCAAGCTTCGATCAGTTAAATATCTTCACGTTGTACGAGAATACAACGCGGCCGCGGATTCGTTAGCCACTGAAGCGCTGGAATCGAAGGTCAGTCGGGTAATCTTGGCTGAAACTCGCAAGTCGGAATTGGCATCGCTGAACCGCATCCAGGAAATGATCTACGAGCCGGATGAAGACTCGGTAGATGATTCGTCACGAGGAGCAGAGCGTCAAGTACATGTACTGTCAGGCAGCGAGTCTTCAAAGTGGAAAACTTTCGAAAATTTCGTGGTTGATTACAGCTCACCAAAGTGCGATTATGGTAATATAGCAGTGATGACTCGGCGACAGACGAAAGCCAAGAAACGCGTCAGGTTTGCAGATGAACACTCGGAGGATGTCTCAAAAGCTCAAGAGGAGCATGAAGAACGACGAGAGACGTCCACCGAAGATTCATTCGGCGAAGATTTGCCAGACCATCCTCACAAGACTGTACCATCGGTATTTCCCAATGCGGAAGATGTTGATCCGGTAGCGATACAGCGGGAACGACGTAGACGGATACTGGTGGCACAAGACGAGGAGCAGAAGTGGTTTAACATCAAGAAGGTGCTTCAGGGCCAAGCAGAAGAGCTGAGTTACAAAGAAGCTCGAGATGCCTGGAAGTATGCTGACCGGTTCGTGTTATCAGAAGACGGCGTGCTTCACTATCTTGGATTGAATCGTCGGTACGACCACGGTTGGCAAGAGGAGACCAAGCTGCGGCTTGTGGTACCGACAACGATGATTCAAGAGGTCTTGCAGAACTGTCACGACTCGCTGGAAGGAGGACATCAAGGTGTGGTGAGAACGTTCCACCGCGTTAAGTCCGATTATTATTGGATCGGCTTGTACGCCGACGTGGAGAAGCATGTGAAGTCATGTCCAGATTGCAGCTCGAGTAAAAGCCGTCCACAGCTTCGTGGATACTCACCTGGTAACGTGCTAGCCGAACGACCTTTCCAGATCGTCTCGATGGATTTTGTGATCCCACTACCGAAATCTCGTAGGGGCAACACGGCGTTGCTCCTATTTCAGTGCTCGTTCACGAGATTCGTTATTGCCAAGGCTATGTCAGATACGACTGCACTGAGTGTTGCCCAAGTGTTCGAAGAATGTGTGTACCGACGGTTCGGAGCCCCATCATTAATAAGGCATGACCGCGACCCACGCTTCATGAGCGAGGTGTTCCAAGCGTTCGCAGAGATGATGCAGTCAAGATCAAGAGCGACTTTGAGCTATCGGCCACAGGCTAATGGACAGCAGGAGCGCTCGGTGAAGTCAGTGATGGGGTCCGTACGGGTGTACGCGGAAGACCCTCTACAGCAAGATTGGGACGAAATCGCGGAGAAGCTAGTATTTGCTATTAATACTTCTCAAGACACTACGAGGAAGGAAACGCCGTTCTACCTCGTTCATGGTTGGGATGCGCAGTCGACGTTGCGGGCAATGTCGTCATCACTCAAACGAGGACTCGGCAAGCAGTCTGACGCACTGGCTTTGCGGCGTGAGATCAATCGACAACATGAGGTCGCCCTCACTATGGCCAAAGATTATCAGGCTGTAGAAAAGGAGCGAAGGGCTAAAAAGCATAATGAGGCCCTGAGTCGACTGGAAAAAGCTGCTGTACCTCAACCAAGTGGAAACGAACACTCGGCAGACCCTCTAGAAGCTTCAGAAGAGATGGAAGATCCTGCAAGAGCTCCACCGAGATCTCTTTTTGAGATTGGGAGCCGGGCGTGGTTGTACATGGAACGCGTCAAACCGGGCTTGACAAAAAAATTAGCTCACCGATGGCATGGACCTTTTCGGATCAAGCGCAAGGTGGAAGAGTTTGCGTACGAGCTGGAACTGCCTGATCGAAGTGGGTATCGCTTTTACCCAGTAGTGCATGTGTCGAGACTCAAGGCTGTCAACGAGTTCAACAGTCGACCGAACACTCGGTTGGTACTTGACACGACTAATGAAGCAAGACTCGACTTCGATGAGGAACTACTGCCTGAAGACAGCTGGGACCCAGATCAAGTTGCCGGTGAATATGAGGTCGAGGCCATCCTCGACGACAGAACACCCCTGTCGACGAGCTGTACGCGAGTTCAAAGTCAAGTGGGTGAGCTATGAAGATACAACTTGGGAACCTTCATCAAACTTGTCATGTAAAGGTCTGCTGTACGACTATTTGCGAGCCAAGAAGAGCGAGAATCGGCTGCAGATGGCGCAGGTGGCGGACGAAGACTAGCGTGACTGGATCACGTGTGAACTGTCCACAGGGCGATGCAGCCTGTGGTAACAGACGAAAAACGTTACTGCAACAACAAATTGTATATGCATTTGAAGAACAACATGAACATGATTACGCTGGGGAAGTGGATTAAGAATAAGAAAACATGAATGCCGACCGGAGAGCGACCACTGAAAACGAAGTCACGCGGGATACCTCAACAGTTGGCTGAGATGCTGGAGAACGTCGTGGAACACGCAGCGAGGACATCATCGAAACCAACAGCAGTCTCGAGGCGACGCTGAGTGTGCATATCGCCGTGGAGAGGAGGCGCAACGCTGAGCTGCACTTGGTGACGAGCCATTGCAGTCAAGTACGGGATTATCGAGGTCATCATGTGATCGACCGATGCCTCCGTACTTTCAGCCAGCATGGCGCGCAGCGAATCTTCGGTGAGTGGTGGTGGACCACCAGCTGAGGCAGGAGGAGCAGCAGGAGCCATCTCCGCGGATTCAGCGACGACGGGGAGTGCTGCAGGAGCTACCGCAGGAAGTGAAGAGTCTGGGGCAGGAAGCGCCGAAGGACCAGTTGATGACGCCGCTGTCGGAGGAAGCTTAGCAGACTGAGGGACGTTCGAACCCTCGGCCTTGCCCTCCTGAGAAACAAGTCGAGTAATGCGAGATGATGAGCAAGGTGCCGATGATTCAAGAGAAGGATGAGCTGACGTACCTCCAGCTGTTCACGTTCGCGACGTCTACGAGGATTGAGACGCTGAAAAGCGTCGGACACGGCTCGATTCAGACGCTTGGACATACGGTGGCGAGATGGTGAATTGAAGAATGAAGAAATGTCACAACGGGCACCAGTACCGTGGCTTCCATTGCGACAGGGGCAGTTGTGGTGTAGTGATTTCTCCGTGGTTGCGGATTATCACCCGTCGACAAAGACGTGACACCGCCCAAGTTGTTCAAGCGACGAACCCTCGGTCGGGTGATGTACGGAGACGCCAAGGTGCAAGGGACTCGACGGCGTCACCTCCGAGTTTTCAACAAGTATCGGATACGGCCCTATGTCACTGAATCCAGGCTGTCCTTATTATTAATAATGGACTGGTCGGATTCGCATTCAGCGGACCATCTACGGTACGAACCCTCAGTGGCGGTTGGGATGAGTTCGCGGAATACTCAGCGACCTTTGGAAGACACATTCACCGTATGGGACAGGGCGCGGACCGTTAAAGATGCTCATGCGACGGTGCAGACGACGCTTGGCATGCAAGAAGATCCATAACGGATCATTGTTCACTTGATATTTGTATACTTGATTAGCACGACTATTTGCACGACTGGGAGTGCTTGAATTGCCTCCCTTTTATTTCTTCCAGCCGAGTGTTGAACACTCGGTGATTTCGTAAAAGGCTTACCCGTGCCTGGTACCCTTCCGCTGTTGGGACCACGAGGATTCAAAACACCTGCTAGCTTTGCTCGTGCTAGTAGCGTGTTCTTATTTTACTGGTTGGCCTATATAAGTAGTTTACAAGGTCCAGTTTGTCCCGGTGCAAGGGCAGAACTGGGGTCTTCAGGTCCGCCCGAACGATCGTTTACTATCCTAGTAGACGTATTGTTGTGGGAACATCCTAACTACATCTGTAGCTAGAGTTCACGTGGGATTTCCAACACCACAGGAGGCCATATACGGTCTCACTTTAAGATCAGCGGGGTAGGCACCACTCGGAGATTAGCGGTGTCAGCATCTTTGAGATTGGCGGTGTCGGCCTCATTTGAGATTGGACGGTGTGCTGCTTGAGCTCAGTGGAGCGGGTGGTCGTGCACAAACGGACGGGCGGACGGACGGGTAACGCCTCGGTGGACGAGGACCAAGGACAGTCGGCGAGAAGTACAGACAGGGAGAGCGCTCCCAAGTCTGTTGACGGTTGCGTAGTAGGGCGGCGTCTGAGTGCGTGCCGAGCCCAAGTGACTAAGTGGGCGACGCTGGAAACTTACTGAACCGCAGCGGGTTCAAGTACATTTCATAGAGGACGGTATCTGTTTTTGGACTGTAAACGGACAGTAATAACGTAGGTGTGCGATCAGTGGATCACACGCCGACGCGGTGAACAGAGTTGTTCATCGTCGGTTATCCGGATCTTGGGCACCATCAGCACTGGGCGACCAGCCCAGGCGTGCAGGAAAGCAAAGACACGTTACATGGTGGTCATACAGGGGCGTCGTATTGAACGAAGATCGTCTATTAAGCTTCACGAGTACGGGTTATATTGGGAGTACGGCTACGACCCAACGCATGGCAAGGACGAAAACGATCGTAATGCCGACAATAACTACGGGAGCGGTGACTCGCTCGATGCAGCCATGGGTACAGGCACAACAGGACACGACGACGATGGGAACGACGATCTCACGACAACCGGCACAGTAACCAACGGCGGCGACTACACAGCAGCCAGTGGCACCAGATCGGCAACCGGCTTCGGACCCAGCGACAGACGTATCCACGGGCAGTGGAAGAGAAACGGCAGTGCCGACGAGATCTGCAGCCTCGACGTCAGCGGGGGCTGGAAGGTTTGACGAGGTTAACCTGACAGCAGCAACGGGTGGCGGACTCGCGGCGAACACGACGAGCACCGAGGAAGATGGAGCGACAGCGATCGCTTCGGCATTGCTGACAGCCATCCACCCCATGCTGACTACAATGACGAGACTAGAAGCGCGCGTGGGAGCGATGGAGACCACGAGGACCGCACCGGTAGTACCACCGGTGGCAACCTCACAAGATGCTGTGGCACCGAGACCACAACAACCAGAAGTGGTGGGTCTGGTGGAACAATGCGTGACCCCAGCGCCTGTAGTGCAGCCACAAGCGCAACCCGCGCCGGTAGCAGTACCAATGGCAACGCATGGAGATCGAGTCGCAGTCAACGACGGACGAGGATTGTAATGGGCCCCTCCATTACATAAGTAGGTACATTTCTTTACATAAGTAGGTGCATCAGCACACGACTAGCGTGTGCTGAAATGCTGTCATGCCATTGGCTGATATATGGGGAGCCAGACCCATTATTAGCCAATTGGACTATGACGTGTATTTGAGTGGCCAGGGCCGTGGCCTTGGTCCTAAAAAAATCAGAGTTGATTTTTCCTTAGACCTAAGACTCAGTCGTTCTATTGCGAGCTTCCTCAACATTATAGTGTAAGCAAGTAACGGAGTAAATACCTGGCCCGTTACACCTGGTAGCACTTTGTAGTCCTTCCAACGACCAAGTTCGACATGAGCCAAGACCTCGACCACGCTGCCTTTCTCCATCTCACTCGGATCGAGTGGGAAGCTCTCCACCGCCTCGCGGCGGTGTCCGGAGAAGCCGTCGTCACGTCGCTGCTGCGCTCAGCGACGCCCGACGAGCAGCGCGTTGCGGCACAAGAATTCATGGAACGCGAGCTCGCCGATGCGAATCGGCGAGTGTCAACTCCCTCGCGTATCTCCACGAATGACGTCGTGAAGCTAGATACGTCCACCTACTCCGGTGCCGGAGAAGATCGACTTCCGCTGAATCGCTGGTTTCGAGAGATCGACATCGCCATCGCCTCGAGGTTAACCGAGGCGCCTTCCGCGAGGGCCCATTTCCTCCTCTCGCGGCTGTCTGGGAAAGCCAAGGAATGGGCTCTCGGCAAGTTGGTTGTCGATCCCAACGTCTTACCCACTCTGGATACCCTCCAGAGTGACCTTCGGCTCGCGTTCGAGCCGTCGCAAGATGAATCCCGAATTCGGGCAGACTTCTTCGTCCTTCGGCAAGGCACGATGAGTATGCGCGACTACGTCCAGAAGACACGACACCTCGCGTCGTGCATCGTGTCTAAGCTGATCGATATGGCCTCTCAGGTTCATGTATGCGTGTTCGGTATGCGCGAAGGCATGACGCGCTACTGCCTTACAAGATCGGACCCCTCTACGCTCGAAGAGGCATCCGCCCTCGCCCTACGCGAGGACTACGTGGTTGCGGCGTCATACGCTCACGCGCTACCTGCTTCAGCTCGGGATTCTGCGCCCGAGCCCATGGACATTGACACTATCGATGCGACGAGCAATCGCCAGCGTCATGCAGCGCATCGGAGCGGTGCTCGGAACAATCGCTCTCTCACCTGCTTCCGCTGTCGGAAGGTCGGTCATCGCGCGGCGGAGTGCCGCGCGCCAGCTCCAGTGCTTGCGCATGTCGATGCCGAGCCCGTGAGTTCTGACCAGCCAAGAAACGGGCAGGGTCAGTAGGTGCGGGGCGCCCTACTGGCTGGAATGGAGGTCCGGGTCCCCCGGTGGCAACCCAACCTCCTAGCCCTCCTGTGCTGCATGCACACTTTCATGCCACCACCACGCCGAGCGATTCAAGATTGATCATTGTCAGTCTTCATGTCGCCGGTGCCCGGCGACCACTGTGAGCGCTCCTTGATTCAGGAGCGACCAACAACTTCTTCCGCGCGCCGTGCTTGTCGGTACTCCTGTCGGACATCACTGTCCGCAAAGGTAGAGGGAAGGTCGCTGTCAAGTTGGCCGATGGGAAATCACGCCGCGTCGCGCGGCGCGAAATTACACTTCCGTACACGTTCGACGGCTCCCGAAGCAACGAAGACTTCCTCGTCATTGAGATGAATGACGCGTTTGACTGCATCCTGGGTATGCCGTGGCTGACGCGCTATCAACCAGAGATTGACTGGTTGGCCCGGTCGGTCAAGCGCCGCAGTGATTATGATGTGAGCGAGGTGTTCACGCACCTCCTGGTCGCCCAGAAGGATTGGCCTCACGTCACCGTCGTGGACCGGTCATGCGCGACGCATGTTGTGCACAGAGTGAGCGATGGCCCTCTCTGCACGGCTTGCGCAGTGCTTTTAACTGACGAGTCCCCGCGGCGACGCGGGAAAGAAGACCAACTGGCGGTCGAGCAGGGGCTCTCGCAGATGTACGAGACGGCGGTCGAGCAGGGGCTCCCGCAGACGAACGAGATGGCGGTCGAGCAGGGGCTCCCCCAGACGAATGAGTTGGCGGTCGAGCAAGGGCTCCCGCAGCCGAACGAGATGGCGGTCGAGCAGGGGCTCCCGCAGACGAACGAGATGGCGGTCGAGCAGGGGCTCCCGTCAATTGAGCCGGTGGTCGAGCAGTTGGCGCTCCCGCTGAACACTACCGCGGTCGAGCAGGGGCTCCCGCTAGAGGGGGGTGACATCTCGTCCAGCGAGAGCGACTCATCATCCTCGAGTTCGCACTCGAGGTGGCGAAAGAGGAAGCCGAAGCGCCGTCGGCTGAAACCTCGCCGAGAGCCCGTACCAAGTGACAGCTCACCGACGGAGTCGGTCTGCGTGCTTGAGTATGTGGAAGGTACCTCTGGCCGCCGACGAACACTCGAGCTTGCAAACCCGCCTGGCGAGGCAGGGTCGATCACTCGACTTCCAGGTCTCTCGTGGAAGAACTTTCTTCGCGGCCTCAAGGCCGATGAAATCGAACAGATTTGCCTGATCACCGACGCCGATTCGGCGTCACTCGAAGTGAATGATGTCAGTGACGACGTCTCGCGTCCAAAGAGCGCTGAACCGAAGTCGGCCCGCGAGGAGCTCTTCGCAGCGCAGTCTTGGGAAGCGCTACGCGAATCCGGCAATCCAGTCTACGAGTCCACCCGCGAATATGAAGATGTATTTCCGGATAAGATCTTAGCTGAGTTGCCAGCTGACCGAGGAATTCGCCACGAGATCGATCTCGTGCCCGGCTCAAAGTATTGTGTGACGCGGCAGTGGCCGCTCCCGCGAGATTAGGTCCAAGCTATTGATTACTTCATCGAGAGCCGCCGCAAGGCGGGTCATGTGCGTGAGAGCACATCACCGCACTCCAGTCCGACCTTCTGTGTGAAGAAAGCCACGGGTGGATGGCGCATCGTCCATGCCTTCAACAAGCTGAACGACGCTACCATCCCTGCCCAGACGCCGATTCCTCGGAAGGACATGGTGCTCGACGCAATGTCGGGTAGTGAGGTCTTCAGCGCCATCGACTTGACCGAAGGCTTCTACCAAATCCTCATGAGGCTGAGCGACATACCGCTCACAGCGGTAAGCACTCCGA